TAGAAGGTCAGAATGTCCTACCCTTAACAATAACATCATTTTACAGCAATTAATTGCTGAAGTGGCACAGCCAAATCCAACATATTTGAGGACTTTAATAGAAGAAAAACAAAATATTACAGAAAATGGAAAGTCAATGGATCCAGTTCAGGAAACCCTGAAGCGACCTGCAGAACATGGAACAGTAATGCGCTGCAGGTAGAATGTGTAATTTGTGCAGCAGGGACAAGTTAACAATCATCACAGTTTTCCCGATCCTATTAATAATGAAATACATATAGCTGATTACTAAGTTTGTAAAGACTGCAGCAGTTTCTAGATCTTATTGTAGAGAATAAAGACATTAAATAAATCATCATTTTCATATAAATACAGTATATACACATTATGTGTAAAAATGTAGTACTGAGAATTTAACCATTTATATATAAAGCATTTGATTAAAAAAGTTTTATACAACACATTCCGAAAGCACTTAAAAACAACAAACTGATGTGAAGTGCTGCTAAATGAAGGTTTCACGAAGCTAGCTTAAACCATTCAAAACAGGACAGGATACGTTTCATCACAATGTACAAATACAACATATAATATACAAATACACCATTAACTTTTTCATGCTATTAAACAAATTGCACTTCAATGTACTATTTTATTAGTGTCAAAGATTAAAATGCCAATAAGAAATGTAACAGTACATAAATGAGCAAGAACAGTAGTGTGATGGTACACTTTCTTTGAAATAAAAACAACTCATAATTACATAACTAAACAATAGAATAAAAAAAAGGATGTGTGAGTACACACTATTTCGGAATAATTACTTAAACTCTAAGCAGAACTACAGAACCTTCCCAATAATATAGGCAGGGAAATATTTGAATTTCAAGATTTTGTGTACTCTATAATTATTATACGAATGCGAATCACAAGCAATCTACAAAATATTTGTTTACTCAAATGACATTTCTAGCACGTCCTGTACACAAAATTAAATGCCTTGCTATAAATTTTTTCTTCTTCATACACTCAGAAATGTAGCTGAACTCACTGAAATATTGATACTCACATATCACTACTAAAAAAATACAGGGCTCTAAATATAAATAGAATATTATGTATATATTTAAATACATCAGATAAAGCACCCACATACATAACTTACACTTCTCATAAGTTCACATATGACTTCAGAGAATCCACACAAATTTTCCTTCACTCATCAATTCCATTCTTCACATTTCACTTCACCCAACTAAACACCCTGTTGATTGTACATTAATGCATGTCTAGTCACACGGATCACATAGCTCACACGTCATGGAATCGTTGACATGATGTGTGGGATTTTGCGGGGTCCAAGGAGCCTAGATGGTCAGAGGCCTTCGTTGTACCCCTCATAAACATTTCAGGTGATGACTAACAGTATGATCACCACCACCATTATTCCTGATAAAACTCCTATGGCAATCCATTGCCTTCGATCTGAAACATATCATTACTTTTATTTTAAACCAACACTGATATTTATTTCACTATACAAATTCTGTATTAACATAGTGAACAAGTATTTATTTTTTAGTGTTGTTTTGCTTCTTTTTTCTTCTCTCACTTTTTTTAAAGACCAACTGAAGATAACAGAACAAAATGCAGAAAAATTATGAGTAAAGGTTAAGAAGTTAATATTATATACAACTATCACATTATCAGCAGTTTTGGGGAGTAATTGTGAAAAAGTAATTCAATTACTAGTAACAATTACTTTTTCAGTCATTTTAGCATGCAATCATTACTTATATTAGAATATACTTTTCACTCATAATTTACTCCATGATATAAAATTGTATTCATCACATCTCGAGTAATCAAACTAATAAAAAAAATGCTTAATATAAGTGGTTTGTTGTAATTTCAGTAGTTTGGTGTAATTTTGCACATTCTAATTTCCGGTTCTCCATTTGTTAGCCTTCAGAGAACATCAAATTGGAATGCGACAATTCCGCGCCGCGAGGCGACAGTTGTAGTTCTATGAATTCCATCTCATTGTTGGGACATGATTTACCTATATGAAATGCTGTTTTAATTGTTATAACGCCGCACTGATAACAGAAGGCCATAATGACTGTTGCCTTTTCTTTTGCGTTAATATAAACTAATAGTTATATACGGCGTATATCTGCGACCTTCCTCAGGACCACGCCCTGAGGAAGGTCGCAGAATGGCGACCGAAACGTCGGCACCTTCGCCAAGGACGCGGCGTCACCCGGACAGCCTAGTAAATACTGACTCCGGCCGCGGAAGCCTACGCTCTTCGCAAGCTGAGTTCACTTGAACGTAGTTTTGATTACATCAGTACTCTATTCAACAGCTATTACAGCAGTACTCTGTTCAGCAGAACTGGTATTGATCAAATTTTTTTACGAAAGTTTTCTTTGCTTTTAGTGCATTTTAAGAGCACGTTATTGATAATTTTTAGCGATGTTTTAGGCCAAAATCCGCCCCTAATGATTACTATACTTCGATTAAAACAGCAAGTCTTTTCAGGGTTACGAGCTGGAAGAGAGGGGGGGGGGCACTCATCAAATCACGTGCTTCGTTGTTATTTAAAATTTTGGTAACGAACCTCTGGATTGGGTGATAGTGTCTCCCTCGTGGCCTTCAAAGGACTTACTGTTTTAATCGATGAATACGTCAAGTATATTATAGCTATCGATATCTGCAATAGTTGAAAATTTGTTCATCCCTAGAGAAACACATTTTTGGCGAAAAGAACCTAATTCGTAAATCAAGATACATGGTAATGGTGGAATTTCTAGCTTAATAAAAAGAGGCTTACAGTCACGTGGGTGGAATTTGCTTATTATTTGTGCCATTCTGTTCTGTAATCTAAAAGTCTGGGAGCAATAGGTTGTGTTTCCCCAGAATATTGTCATATTTTAGGCACGAATGAACATTCGCAAAACATACACAATATGAAGGCAGACTGAACTTAAAAGAATTTGTTATTGTGGAAACAATGAAAATCTGATATTGAAAAATTTATGTTTCTTTATTGCAAGTAATATTCGTATCATCAACAAAAAGAATCGACCTTCCGTTTCCAATTGATGAAGGTATATCGTTTACGAACAGCAAGAAGGGAATACGGCCTAAAAGTGAACCCTGCGGGACACCATGTGCAGTAATTAGCAATGAATCGGAATGGTGAGTGAATAAAGACGCTTCATTCTACTCTCTGAAATCTATGTTTGTTACGAACATAACCAATCCAGAGCAATACCACGATTTCCATTCACAGGCAATTTTGAAAGTAAAATTTATGATCAAAGACGACAATTTTGTTTCACAGATCTACAAATATTCCAGTGCCTTATTTTGATCCATGGATGGAGCGATATCTAAAAGAAAACATAAAGCGTTACCGTAGGTTTTCATTCTCTAAATTTTTGTTAGAAATCCGAAAACGCTCCATATTTGCGGGAAAAGTGTTCATTCGTACGCAGAAAATTCTAATATTTTTGGACGTCATTTTTGTTATATATTTTGATGAGTGACTTAATCTTCGTTGTTTTGAAAATATCTAGAAATATCTCGGTGGGTAAGGATGCATTAAATATGCGAGTTAACAGGTGTAAAATGGTAGGTAAACAAGTCTGTAACAAACAATAAGGAAATTCATCTAATCCGACAGAATACTTATTTTTCTTAACGGATTATTTTTAGGATTTCAAAGGAAGACGTTTCGGAAACAAACATAGTGTAGAACATCGTGTAGAACCTTTTTTGGGAAACGTTTAACGTTGAATTTGTGGTTTTTGACCCTTCGCGAGATCAACTGCAATTCTCGAAAAATATTGGTTGAGAGTAGCAACTGTTGCAGGATTGTTCACTTATTTATCATTATCATTTGAAACGTATTCGACAAGGTTTCTAGTTGATGTGGCCGTATTTCTTACTTTATTCATTATTGCTTTTCTTTTATTATTCGAGTACAGCTTCCTAATGTATCATTATTATTGTTGCTTTATGTGATGTGAGTCATGCTATTGCTTCTTGAAATGTTGCCAGAATATCGTTTTAAATGCGCAAGTCGGTCTTTTAGTGATAACACTATTGCCGCATGATCTATTTGATCACAGCATTTGGAGCAATTCCAATGTAGTCTTTACCATTGGTTTGGACCTACTGAAGCTTTGAAGTGATAAATCACAGCTGTGTACTGCGTCATGTTAAATTGCAATCATTACACCGGGTGACGCAAAAGAAACTAAGTAAACGTAAAGCAATTGCAAGTACAATTTATTACAAAAAACTGCTTCATCATCAGGGTTGAATTTGTTTATATTCAATGGAGTTTCAATTTTCATAATTCATTTATCATATGGGTTTTCATACTTTGCTACTTCTATCCTTCGTGAAGAATCTTAATTGTCTAGTCAGTAGTGTTACAATTGAAAAATCGTGCAATAATTGAAATAAAGCTTTGCTATTTTTTTAAGGATGACAGCCAGCAATCACTCTCCAGAAAACAAAACAAAATATTTAAAATGATATATTAATTCAATAAAACAAAAATGAAAATAAATACTTTAGGTTTCACAAAAAAATTATTTCAATATGTACTTACCATTTGACATATGTAGCACTTTTGCAACTTTTTTCATTGTTGAGTCCAATTTAGAATCTGTATTTTCTAATTCATTTCCAAACTCATCTAGCATCCTGTGCAAACAAAGAGTTAATTTATAGTAGTTCAAACGTCAAGAGAAAAAATATTAAGTAGAGACACTGTGTTTCTAAGGCCATGATAGTTTAGGAGAGAATAAAGTCTTTAATCTTTTGTGCCATGTGTTATTTGATTCATTACCACTCTGCAAAGCTGGAAAGTTTAAGCGAACTATATCAATAACTATCTTAAGACACTCGGCACTGTTCGGTCATTTATTTATTACAATCGTGTATTATGTTTGAACTGGCGTAACCGGGTTTTGGGTAACGATGCTTCGCACTAACAGCAATAAATGCAAATGTTTCGCGTGTTTAGGTAAAAAAATAAATTACAACAAAATTTACAAAAAAATTAAGATATACTTTAATCTTAATATCAAACTGACGTGGCTCGCATTGCTCCGGTTTTCATTTTTTGCAACATTTTGATCAGGAAATCTATAAATTCCCGTTCAGTACGCTGAGATCCACCTTGTCTAGTGCATATCCATTCCATTCTGTGTCACATGTCTCGTCTTGCCCTGACGCCACCCCTAAACCCTCGCTCTACTTCACTAATTTTCTAATTAATATAGTTAAGTGATCTATAGTAAATGAAAAATAAAATACTTTTACTCATTTGTTTTTTTTGTGTAGTTTGATATATCGTACCATTACAATAAAACACACTTCACAACAAAATCATTCAACCTGTATACAGTTACAATATTTACATATTTTAGATTTATGAGATTTTTCCATTAATTATATGTAGCGCTTGTGCAGTCAATAAGTTACTCCTACATGCATTTAAGATCAATTTCTATCTTATATTTGTGAATATCATGAATGTGTAGTTTGTTTATACATACATTACAAATACTCAATGTGGGTGCCCTTGGTCACTCGACAGACACATCTGTATTTATTTACGTCAAAAACAGTTAAAAACTGTGTGTGAGAAGAATGGTATGGGGAGAAGTTAAATTGAAATTACATCCACCCGATAGTCCATATCTTCTCAAACACGCTTTAACATCTCAGCAGTGGTGCTTAGGAAGCTGGCTCTGATGCGCTGCTATAGTTCCAGAAAAATTCGTCTGCAGGAGAGATACAGATTCGATCTTTAGCATATCCCCACAGGAAAAAAATCACACGGCATGAGGTCTGGTGATCGTAGTGCCAGGGTAAGAGCATCTGATTTAAGTCCGTTCCGCGTCCGATCCCCGCTTGTGGAAGTTGTTAGTTTAAAAAAGCTCTTACGAGCCTGTGGAAATGAGGTGGGGCGTCATCCTGATGTAGAAGGAAATCATCCCTGTCGACTTTCAACAGAGGTGACAACCATTCTGTAATCAGTTCCCTGCTTCATCAAGTAGTCGATTTTTTAATGCTACTTAAATTTTTTAATGATGGTCTAATCTGGTTCAAAACCCGCGCAAATTCCTTTCCATTTGACCAAATACTTATTTTTTGTACAAAATTCTTTGACATCGGTTGTCAACTGCTTTTTGTTAGTTCGAAGAGTCACCAAAAAAGCACACCGTCTCCTCGGGCGGCTGGGACGAAAAATTTACCCGTAGTCAGATTTCTCTGGATCCAATTTTTTCCACATCAGACGCGACGAGCTCGCGTTATGAAAATCAGAGGAGCAGCGAGCAGTTTCGTAGCGATCGTGCACAGAGGCTAAGTGAAACATATATTGGGCGCACTGAAAGTTTGATAATCTTTGTCAATTATGCGTCGTTTCTTTTCCAGAGCTCTCTCGTCTGATGAAAACATAGAAGACGATGTTCATTGCAGTTTCTGCTAATGGTCTCCCAATTCATCTAAGCAATATTTCGCGGCTTGAACAGTATTTATTTACACTGTCTGTAAGAAAAATCACGAAACCCCGACAACCATTTTGAATAACTCTGTATTTCTCGAGCTTATCCAGAAGAAACTGTCTGAACCTAGCTTTTTCGAGAATTTCTCCAGGAATTTTACAATATTCTTTCATTTTGTACGAGAAAATCTGGCCAACTTCGATTATTCAATAGTAATTAGATACGCATTCTGTTTTGTTTTTCTGACGCCTGATGGACAACTGACGTTTACAACGAATCTTTTCACTGTGTTGCAAGACGAATTTTAAAATGCTCTCGTTCGGGTCAGCAATTAACTAATTAACCACATAGTTTTGTATTCACTACGGGTGTTACTTAGTGTTTTTGACTCAGGTGACATCCAACCTCTTGGAACAGAGGCTCTCTTGGAGGTCGCCAGAGGAAATCTTGTAAGTCACCCTCGGGGCAATGACACGTACTAAAAGCCTTAACTACATATATAGCCATTACAAAAAATACTTATGTGCAAATTACTTGTATGTAAGTGAATAGCATAAAAAGGCAACCATATAAATTGAAAATAATAAATTAACTCGCTATAAAATGATTATTTGGTCACAATGAAATAGTACTGTATTTTCTATTGGGCACTATTACTTACACAGCCTGTTCATCCAATTCACTGCCGATTTGGCGTGAAACAGTCTTAAGTGTTCCTATGGAGTCACTAATGATGTCGAGCTGCTCATCCTGCGTACGCACGAGGTGGTTCTGCTGTTGCAGAGTGTCATCCAGAAATTGACGATTTGGGCTGTCCAACTCATTTTCCAACTTCGAGTATTTAGTTGTACCATGGCTGGAGGGCACTCGGACAGGACTATTCTCCAAAAGCGGCTAAAAAAGAAATATATATATAGTTTTCAAGAAAATTACTTCATCAATTATCATCACGTTCCAAGCTACTTAGAACATGATCCCTTGGTTGCCCTGAATTTGTGCAGTTCACTGAAACATATGCTAGAATAGTCCGGTAATGTATAGTTCTTAGTAATTTTGTAGCAGTCATTTTCTGAATCAATGTAGCAACATTAAACACGTTAAATGTGTGGCTTGTTTTTCACTGGATATTTTTTATATTTATTTCGCGCACTTGCTTTACATCAGGGAAAGCAGATTTACTTTGCTTGTAGCACTCTTCCAGACTTACCTTAGATTCCAGTTTTTCGTTAATGCCATAATGTTGGTCAATTGAGAGAAAATTGAATAAATGGAGAGGGAAAGTGATTTCAAATTAAGAAAATCTAAATAAAAAAAATCAATCACGTACAAAGGTTTCTTTGTACAAGCATCCTTATACAAATGCTAATCATCTGGAACCATTTTGTCAAAAATCAATGTGCGTTCTGGAGAGTCGAATTTAGGGTTTTGAAATCACGCACACATTTTTTCAACAGATTTTTGACCAAATTACTTTTCAGGGCCTAGGAGAAATTGTAATTGCTACTCATGTTAAAAACAATATATACGAGAAAACCAGAAGAGCACAAGGCAACTGATGTTAAAAACGTACGCACCTAAATAAATACATTTTCTGCAGCTAGAACTATAAAACAAAGTTTCCTCCCGCTT